TGGTGAATTACAATATAATGGTAATTTGGTGAATTACAATATAATGGAAAGCTGAAGAGTGAGGGGGAAATAAAGGTAGGTTGATGCTTGGCTGGGAAGGAGATAGGGTTGCCAACTCCAGGTAGGAAATTCCTGGAGAAGTGAGGGATGGAGGGATGGAGCCTGGAGAGGGTGAGTTTTCAGGAGGCGTGGGACCTCGGACAGGTACAAAGCCATAGACTCCACCCTCCAAACCAACCATTCCCTTCTGGGGAACCATTTTTGCCAATCTCCAGGTGAGGGTTGGAGATCACTCAAAATTACAACTGTTCTTTAGGTAGCAGAGATCAGTTCCCCTGGAGAAAATGGTGGACTCAGTGTCATTATACCCTGCTGAGGTCGCCACAGCAAATTGACATTGAGTGTCCAAGGCCGGGGCACTTGCCCAGAGCCTCTTTCTAGAGGCCGTTGTATTTATTTCCACAACGGGCCTTTTTCCTAGTTAACTATAATGGGTAGATGTGCCTTGAATACAGGAATTCTCTGAGAATTTGCAGCTAATTCAACATGTGCAGGGATGCCTAGGATGGAGAAAAATAACATTGAATAGTTCCTGATGTTTATTGGGAGCGAGGGAAAACAGGTGCATGAGTACAACACTTCCAATCTTGAAGACAGCGGAAGTCATGATAAGCATGTGAACTCTTAGCTCTAAGAGATCATGAGAGCCAGTGTTGAACATGAACATAGGGTGGTTTACATGGAAAGCCCTAACCTAGCTAATGTTTTCCCAGCCAGAATCAGTAAGAGTTTTGCATCCCTCTGAAGTGTGACGGAAATGCAATTACCCATCGCTTTGCACTAACATTAAACTTGGGCTTGCTGCCAGGTGTCCATACAGAACTTATAAGGGAGAGAGACATTGAGGTGTGTCGTGTGTCTTTCTGCCAGAGAAAATTCTCTGAGGACGTTCATTAATTTGTGTTGTTGTATCGTGTAGGTTTCTGGTTACCATTCAGATCATACTTCCCAGAATGTTCACAACATAATTGAGCTGGGCAAAATCTTTACTTGTTTAGCTGGCACATAATAGCAATACTAATGAGACACACACACACACACACAAAATACACCATCCTTCTGTCCCAGAATAACAGTGTGGCTGTGATTGTAACTGCAGTGGTTCAAAAACCATTGGGCTGGTCAATACACGTGGAATCCAGTTCTGTGTTCAACACAAGGTGATTTCTCTGCAGGGTTCCCTTGAAAGAAAGATGATGATTTTACTATCAGAAATCATGATTATAGGGCACTTTCACACATGCTGAATAATGCAGTTTCAATCCACTTCAGCAATCATTTGCAAGTGGATTTTGTCATTTCACACAGTAAAATCCAGATGCAAAGTGGTTTGAAAGTGCGTTATTCAGTGTGTGTGAGTGTGTTAATGAAATCTGTGCTTTAGGCTGGGCATAAGAGAACATAAGAGACGCCAATGTTGGATCAGGCCAAATGCCCATCCAGCCCAACACTCTGTATCACACAGTGGCCAGAAATACCAGTGCCATCAGGAGGTCCACCAGTGGGGCCAGGACATTAGAAGCCCTCCCACTGTTGACCACCCCCCCAGCACCAAGAAGACAGAGCATCACTTGCCCCAGGGCAGAAGGCATTTTGGTTGGCTAGGCAACCAACATGGCACCATATCCTGATGTCACTGGATCAGACTTTCTTGCATGGTTCTGAGGGTCATTGAACTCCAACACTGTCTTCTCCATCACCTCATTTTCCCAGCTGCTCCAGCCTGCTGTCCTCTGCCGGAGTCCTGCGTCACCTTCTGTTCCTTGTAGTAAATCCTGACTCCCTGCTGTCCTCCTCTGCACCTTGGCCAAGTTTCAAATGATGAGTTGTCTAACATCATTTATTTTCAGTTCTGAACATTATACCCATGCAAGAGCTCCACTCTTGCTGGATGTTGTTATTGCAATCCCAGTGCAGGGGACCCCCAAATCAGCAGAGATGGGTGGCACAGGTCTTGCAGGTTGGCTGTGCACCAAGTGCCCGTGAAGAAACCATCAGGGCTGGAGACAGATAATGCGGAGAGCTCTATCAGCTACTTAAGCAGTTGTTTGCAGAGCCTGTCATAGAGAACCCTTGACCCGGATGGCCCAGGCGAGCCTGATCTCATTAGGTTTCAGAAGCTAAGCAGGGCTGGCGCTGATTCGTGCTTGGATGGGAGACCACCAAGGGAAGTCCAGCATCGCCGCGCAAGGCAGGCGATGGCAAACCACCTCGGAACGTCTCTTGCCCTGAGAGCCCTATGAGGTGGTCAGAGTCTGGCTGGAACCTGACAGCACTTTCCATCAATCCCACCGTCACAGAATAGAGAAATATGAACAATAAGGATGATGATTTGGATGGTTTTGGTTGACCAGAGAACAGGAACAGAGGATGCCACTGCGACCAGCATGGGGGAAGGGGCAAGTGAGGGGGCATCTGGAGCTGCAGCTCGTAGTGAGGGGAGGAAAGGGGGGAGAATGGGATTTTTCCTCCCCAAAGCGTTTTTTTTTTTTGGATGTAATATAAAATGCTCCCTCTAAGCTGTGGCGTCTTGTGAGCAAAAATTCTACTTTGTGAGCTGCTGGCATTAGAGTGGTGAGCGAGCCATTTGGCTACTGCAATAAATGAGTTGGCTCTGGAGCCATCCTTCCTGAGCTAAGACAAACATCTGTGAGCCAGAGGCTAAAAAACTGTGAGCTAGCTCACACTAACTCAGCTTAGAGGGAACACTACCTGTATTTTACCTCCCAATTTTCATGCATCTGATGAACTGGGTGTTGCTTCTGAGAGCTCATCAGATGTCATGCAAAACTAATCAGAAAGGTGCCACCTCTTCCGCTCTTCGCCCCCACGCAATTGTTGAAGACTCCTCTTCGGAATTAGTCGCATGTACAATCCTTTTCTTAAAAAGTTAGTTTGCACTGGAAGCCATAGAACTCTGTGCTGCCAGATGTCACAAAGGTGCCACCTCTTCTGCTCTTCGCCCCCACACGATTGTTGAAGACTCCTCTTCTGGAATTAGTCACATGTACAATCCTTTTCTTAAAAAGTTACTTTGCACTGGGAGCCATAGAACTCTGTGCTGCCAGATGTCATCTGCCCTCCAAGTTCTGTCCTAAGCATCTCACGTGATCCTCTCATGAAGTGCTTCATTAAGCCCAAGAGATCAGAGGAAGATGTTTGCAGAAGAACATAATTCCTAATTAATGCCGAAGTGTCAAGGACCTGCCAGCCCTCTCTTTATTCCCATCCTGCGATTAATTATTGAATTGTTCCTGATGTGAAAGCGAAAAACAAATGCAGAAGCAACAAAATATAATCAGCGACAGCCCATCGCTACAGGGCAGAGTCCAATTTGTTTATTCTGCATTCCCGGCATTTCCCGTGTACTGTTAAGTCAACTAAACTGGGGCACAGAAGCAATCTTTTAAAAAAACAACTCCAGTTGTCACCCTTAATACATTTAATGTTTACCTTAGGAAATCAAATAGTCTTTGTTTGGGAAATCAGCAAACTGTCATAGGTGATGGCCCCGCAAGGTGACTTCTGGATTCTGCAGTCGGGTCTGTTACATAATAGTAGGACTACAAATCTAGCAATTTCCCTGGTTCCTAGAAGAGCAGCACTGAATATTTTCTCTGATGAGCTTCACAAAGAACTGCACAAATGTGCACTGCACGACAATGCATAGATCTACAGGCCCACTATCTATGGACTGCGTGTATGTGCAACCTTTGGGAAAGTGCAGTTAAGAAAAAGAAAGAATGTGTCAGTTAAAACTAGCTAGAGTGTCTTATGAAGCCAGAAACTTTCGCCAAGAGGTGGGATCTTTTCATCTACTCTGTAAACAGGGAGTCTTTATCAGGCGCAGGTTTAGTAGCTATAAGAAGAGCCCAACTGGATCAGACCAGTGATCCATCTAGTCCAGCATTCTGTTTCATACAGTGGCCAACCGGTTTTCCTGGAGGCCAACAAACAGGGCATTGAAGTCCAGGTCTTCCCCTGATGTTGCCTGCTGTTTCAAAGTTTTACTGACTACGAATATGGAGGTTCTCCTTGCCAACTGCGGCTGATAGCTATTGTGAATCTGTCTATCCCCATTTTAAAACTGATACTATATCAGATGCAGAAGATTCTTGTGCTTTTTTTTATTGGTAAGGCCCTGCAGTAGTATGTGCCCTTTAACACCTCTGCAGTCAATAGAGAGAGCAAGTTTGGTGTAGTAGTTAAGTGCCGCGGACTCTAATCTGGGAGAACCGGGTTTGATTCCCCACTCCTCCACTCACACCTGGCTGGATGACCTTGGGCAAGCCGTAGTTCTGACAAGAGCTGTTCTTGAAAAAGAGGAGTTTCTGTCAAGAGCTCTCTCAGCCCTACCTCCCTCACAGGGTGTCTGTTGTGGGGAGGGGAAGGGAAAGGAGTTTGTAAGCCACTCTGAGACACCTTTGGGTAGTGAAGGGCGGGGTAGAAATCCAATCTCCTCCTCCTCCTCCTCCTCTTTTTGTATTGTGGTTATTTTTGCTAATCCATTTCTTGGATGGTACTTTAAAAAAACAACCTTAAAAGTTGGTTAAATATTATGTTCTTAAGGGAAGAACCCTGCTGCATCACAACAATTCTTCTTGTAGACCAGCATCATGTTTCCCTAGCAGCCAAACAGACAAGTGTGCAACGCTGAGTCACACACACTAAATAATCCACTCTCAATCCACTTTCCATCTGGATTTTACTGTGTGAACTGGCAAGATCCTTTTGGAAAGTGCATTGAAGGTGGATTATTTAGTGTGTGTGACTGCAGTATTCCCAAGTCTGGAATACTGGTTAACACACCTCGTAGGCTTGTCTTAAGAACGAGTGGAGGGGACCACACACACCGTCCTGACCTTTCTGCTCTTCTGTTCCTGGGCTAGCTAAAATCCGAGATGTAACCAATCTCCTTTTCTTCTTCCTTCTTTAACCAGAGGAGATCCTGAAGACCCATATCGCACACTGGTGGTCTCCAGATGGCACGAGATTAGCGTATGCAACCATCAATGACTCCAGAGTCCCCACTATGGAGATACCCATGTACACCAATGATCTTTATCCCAAAGTGAAAACATATCATTATCCAAAGGTAAGATGGAAGCAAGTCAACAGATTAACATTCAGGATATTTTTGTTGTTGTTGTTTTGTTTTTTACCTTCCCTTGGTTGAAACTGGAGAACAAATAGCTTCGTATAAAGTCCCGGATCACCCAAGCTAGCCTGATCTTCTCTAGCCCAGTCTTGTCAGGTCCAAGAAGCTAAGCAGGGTCAGCCCTGGTTAGTACTTGGAGGGGAGACCACCAAGGAAATCTAGGGTTGCTAACCGCCTCTGAACATTTTTTGCCATGAAAACACTATGGGATGGCTGTAAGTCAGCTGTGACTTGATGGCAAAAAGTCATTTTTTTTAAATGATCCTAATCATCTTAGAGCTGTATTACACCTTCTCTGATAGATATTCCCCCCAATAAGGTTTGCTTTGGTCCTCTACTGATAGATTAACACTATAACTAATTGCTGGTAGCTTCAACTTGATCAGGGACTGTTTCTACTCTTGGTTCGCTAGCAGCTCAACCCACCAAAATGGTGTCCCCCCAAGTGGCTTGCATGCTCATGAGGGAAAACATATGAGCATCCAAAACAGGGATGCAGTCCTTTCTGTCAGAACTATGATTGCCTCTCAGTGTTCTAACATTGGCTTTGACAGCAGATTTGCTTTGCCGTTTAAAGCAGTGCTAAAATGTGAATTAATCTGTTGTTCAACCAGAAGCCACCCACAGGGGGGGAAACATAGGCTACATCCTTAGCTGTATCTTGAGCTTTAATCCCTGAGTTGATTATAACAAATTTTTGCTGTGTCAGCACCTAACAGGACTGTCCTAAGTAGAGTTACACTCATCTATATATCTAATTCTCAACAGTCCCCTCTGCGTGCAGATCCTTATTTCCACAAACAGAGGGCACACTCTCTTGTCTAAGCCTATTGGCATCAATGGACCTAGAAGGGGGTAACTCTGCTTTCTAGATCAAGGCAAGCCTGACCAGTCCCTAGGAGTGAAAATGACTAAACTGAGGCTATTGTACTTTGGTCACATTATGAGAAGATGAGGGTCACTGGAAAAATCATAATGCTAGGAAAAGATGAAGGCAGCAGAAAAGGCGGAGGATCCAACATCAGAGGGATGGACTTAATCAAGGCAGCCACAGAGTTTGCAAGACTGGAGCAAGGCAGTTTGCAAGACTGGAGCAAGGCTGCTAATGATAGGAGGTTTCAGAGGTCATTAATTCATAGGGTTGCCAGAAGTTGGAAGCAACTTGACAGCACTTAACACACACACACACAACTCTGTTTAGGATGGCACCGCAAATCCCTGTGTGTGCGTGCATGACCGCATGCACATGTAAATACGTACACACATGTATAACCCCCGTTCAGCCTTCCTCAAGGCCCTCAAGGAAGTGTGTACCATGGAACACGCCAAGACTTACAGCAAAGCGACAGAACATGTGGTTAACCATCATCCTTCAGCCTTAATCATAGGCAGATCTTTTCGCACCAAAACACTGAGCAGCTACCTAAGTGCAAATGTTAACTTCCACAGTATCTCAACGTTTCTGCTTTGGAGAAAAGCAATATTTTTGTTAAGCCCATATACTGTAGTGCTTTGAGTGCTGCACTAGGACTTGGGAGACCCAGATTCAATTTTCCGTACTACGTTGAAGCCCACCAGATGACCTTGGAAACCAGACACTTTCTTTCAGCCCAGTCTCCCTCACTGGGTTTTTTTGAGGATAATATGGAGGGGAAGAGTCAAGTATGCCGTCTTGAGCTCCTTAGAGGAAGGATAGTAATGTACTAGACAACAACCACTAGCAAATCCAGTGTTTGTCCTGTTCTGGTCCATATGTAGTCATGATGACCCTTGCTGGCAGAACAACAGAATTAAAGTTGATTGCCGTCTATTTTCTTCAGCAATGGGCGATTCTAGTTGTGAACGGAATGTGTCCTTTCGCTATTTGTAGTTTGTTATAATATCACGTAATGACATGTTATTTAAAGAACAGTGTACAGTGATTCCATCTTCCTTTTTCTTTCAGGTTGGAACAGAAAATCCAAGCATTTCCTTGCATGTCATTGGCTTGAACGGACCTCCCCATGACTTGGAAATGACTCCTCCAGATGATCCAAGAATGAGGTTTGTTGTGGGTAATAACGTACTAGAAACAGTCAAGGGCGTCTCCCTTGTAGCCTGGCCTCTCTTTGCCTGGTTGCTAAGTTTTGCCGCAGTCGCTCCCTTAAACGAGTCACACGTGGGGGTGAGTCAGGAGGACTTTCAGCTTGCAGTTCTTCCTTCTTATCTGGTCCAGGTGTGAAGACTGCTGTTACAGGCACTTGCCAGCTATCCTCCTCTGCTGTTTCAAAGGGGCCAGCTGTGGTTTCTGCCGGCTCTGTCAGCTCATCCCCATCCATGCCCATGACAGTACGGCTTTAAGGGATGAAACCAACACCTGGAATTGGACTCAGGAGAGGATTGGTAGCCAGTATAACTGTTGTAGTATCAGGGTCACATCCTCAGAGCACTCTGCAATAGCTGCAGCTCCAAACACTCTTCAAGGGTAGCCCCAAGTAGAGTACATTGCAGTAGTCCTGTCCAGATGTAACTAAGTCATAGATCACTGTGGATAAAGCAGACTGATCCAGGAACAGGCACAGTTGGTACACCAGCCTAAGTTGGGCAAAAGCACTCTGAGCCACTTCAGCTACCTGGTTTTCTAAGCTGGTCATTGTATCAAACAGCACTCCCAAACTGTGAACCTGGCTCTTCAGGGGCACTGTAACCCCATCCAAGACAGGAGAGATCTGAAGTCCCAGGTCTACCTGTCTACTTACCCAGAGAACCTATGTCAGGTAGGAATTAAGTTTCAGTTTGTTCACCTTCATCCAGCCCATTACTGACTCCAAGCACTGGTTCAGAACATCAATAGCATCATAGGAATCAGGCAGGAAAGAAAGGTAGAGCGGGGTGTCCACATGCTGATAACACCACAGCCCATATATAGGTAATATATAGAGGCAATACATATTTAATATTCCATGTTTATGTGTGGGACCCTGGCCAGTGTTCCCTTCAAGCTGTGCTCATTAACTCAGGAAGCCCCGCTCAGCAGCAGTCTGGAGTCGCGGAGTGTCTTGCACTGCCTATTGCCCATGTGAAGACTACAGCAGTTATATTCTGCTCAGGATGTGAACTGCTCTGCTCAGGGGATTAAAGGGAACATTGATGGTTATAATTTAACAGAGGGAGACATTGTAAATCCACAAAGCACATGATGATGTATATCATCATCATCATCATCATCATCATCGATATCATTAATATGATTAATATTATGGAATCACACTCTTCCTCCAAGGAACTCAAAGTAGTAAAAATGGGAGATCCTCACAACAGCCCTGTCGGGGTTAGGGTAACAGAGAAAGAGAGAGAGAATTTGGCTGGATCTTACCCAGTAAGCTCCATGATGTACAACACCACAATTGGTTGTTGTTTAGGGGGCGAAACATGTCCCAGTATTAACTCACCTGCTTTCTCGGGCTTGGTTGCCATGGGAATGTAAGGGAGTGAGAGGAATGTCTACTTTGGCTTTTGGCTGCTTCGCTGCTGCTTCCAGTTATCTTAGTCGGCCCAGACGCATAACCTTGAACCCCAGTCAAGCCTGGCATCATCTTTCCCTTGGGAACTATGGGCCATTAAGGGCCAGCTTGATTTAGGTATAATTGCTTGCTTTGCGTGCTTTTCCCCAGTTCTAACACAGAAACATCAAGAGTCTGGATCATATCAATGTCTCAATAAACTTTCTATTCTTCTGAAAGACTGTTGTTGGGAACTGATTTCTCCAGAGGTCTGACACCCAGTAATGGTCACATTCTGAAATCTTGTGTGTGCTAATTTGCAACTCTCATTGAATTAATTGGGATTTTCTTCTGCATACCCATGCATAAGACTGTGCTTTTAGTCCATAAGGTGCCACCCACACAACAAAGTATTTTGTGGCTACAGACACACCCAGGTGCTCCTCTGGGATATACAACACTCAGCTGGTAAACTGCTGTTGTCAGGCTTGTTTCCCTGCATCCCTGACATTCTGCACATAACTTTTATGGTGTCGTCATAAAAAGTTGTCTCTGTGCTGTGACCCTGCGAACGCCCCTTATTCAGCATTATCTTGACTGACGTTAAAGATCTTAAACTGTGGTCCTGAGCGAGCTACGTTTGGAAATGAATTATTTTGAAAGCAATGGGATTTCATGTCAGCAGAGCGTTATGTAAATAGTGCTTATGTTCTTCAAAACCACCGATTAACTAAAAGCTTTGGATGTCCGCCAGAGTAGTTGAATCAATGAGTTTGTGCTGTGTAGTGTATCCCACATATTGCTAAGGTTAATTATCCACACTTAGCAGAGTATATTATAGGTATCAAATTTAATGTAACACATTCAAAGCTCACCTTGAAGCCTACTGAGCTAAGCTTTGGTATTCGAGGCAAATATGTAGGCACAGCTTGGAACGTTTGATAAAGCCAGGGTCACTAGAAGCCAGACAGCATCTCAGGGAGCAAAGGAGGGGCTGTGGCTTAGTGGAAGAGCCTCTGCTTTGCATGCAGAAGGTCCCAGGTTCAATCCCAACATCTCCTCTTAAAAGAGTCTTGTAGGAAGAGGTGTGAAAGACCTCTGCCTGAGACCCTGGAGAGCTGTTGCCTGTTTGAGTAGACAACACTGGCCTTGAAGACATGATTCAGTATAAGGCAGATTGATTTGTGTTCATGTTTTTTTTCATAAGCCCACAGCCCACTAAAGGGTTGGCATGGACAGCCTGAATTATTGTGGAAGTTGGCTGAACAGTGTCTTCTGCAAGAAGGCATGGCAGAGTGTTCCCACTAAAGTGCGCTGGCTCACAGATTTTTAGACCCTAGTGCATGGATTTTTCGTGCAGCTCAGGGTGACGAGATTTGCATGTTGTGATCCCCAGAAGTGCTGACCACAATACACCAGGAACTGCAAGCTGACCATGAGAACTGCAGCCAAATGCAAGGAACAGATCGGACGCTTTTCATTGGACGCCATGCTAGAGTGTCACATCCAATGAAGTGAAAGCAGAGTTCTTGGCCAGACATCAACTTTGATCTGCCCCCATCCCTCTCGTTCACTAATTACATACTTGTGGGCAGGAGACCGAAAGAAGCCCAGGGATCCGGTGCGACCGCCTAGTTCCTCACCTACTTGGGGGTGCTCTCTCCCTCCTGCCTCCTCGCAAGCAGGCAGCCACCCCTCTCAAGCCCATCTCTCCTGGGGCGGTAGCCTCCCCCAGACTTATCACTTGCCAGCTTCTCTCGCAGTGATCCTGGCCTCCTCTGCTGGCACAGCAGCCAATTGCTGGCATCCTCCAGTGCCATGTGGCTCCCTGCCAGTGGCTAGTGGGTGGGGTCTCCCTACACTGAGGCCACTCCTGCTGTTTCTCCAGAGCATGCTGCCGGCCTAAGGAGCTAAGCAGCAGTGCCCTGGTATGGGCACATAGAAGCCTTGTGCCCAGGGATGCAAAGCACAGCTCGGGAGCCCAACCATGAGACCTGACCCTGCTGTGAGAAAGCAGCTATCAGGGGGGAAATGGCTGCCGATGGAAGGGAGAGAAGGAGGAGCTCCAGCGATCCCATGAGCCCAGATGGGACTTCTGACACGTTGTGGAGTCACACTCCATCCTAAACAGAATCACACCCTTCTAAGTCTAAGTGCGCTGAAAAGGGTCTGACTGCTTAGGATGGTACCTGTAATGTATCCGATTGCCACGTGCGCAACCGTTGGGCCATGCGGTCGCGCACAAGTCCTAAGCTTCGTTCTGTGAGAACAATAGCAGAGCGGATCCTAGCCCGCACCAACCAGAGGGCAAGGTCCGCGGCCGAGAGCCTATGAGACTCCCGGCCACTGTAAATAACCTATAGGGTCACTAGGGGATGTGTTTTGGTGGTGGGTTCTGGGCATATATACCGGCCTGCGTGCCGGGGGTCCTTGTCTTGTTCTTCACTAAATAAAGTACTCTTGCTGAAATCACTCTTCATTCTGAGTACTTTTCAGTACCGCAAAATTCTTTGGGGTTTTTTAAATAGTTCCCAAAAAATGGAGGGAGGGGAGGGGAGTTCCTGAAGTGAAGGAGAACGAAGGGGAAAGTGTGTCTTTTTGCCATGACACTATATGATGAGGAAGGGGAAAGTGTTTCTTTTTGCCATGATACTATATGATGAGCTTTTGAGGGAATTATATGATAGGCTGGGGAAAATGGGGGGGGGAGATATTTCCGTGGCAGATTTCCAACCCTGCTTGCACTTGGTGGAGAGAGAAGGAGCCGGGCGCGGGGGGGGGATGACTCAGTGGTGAGGTAGGTGATAAAAATCAATCATCCACTCTCTCACTCTGGCGACCAAGAGTCTTTTCTTTTTTTTTAAAGTCCCTGGCTAGACAATAAGAGAGAACACTAAAAATTCCATCCAGGTTTCTTAAGGCTGAAAACAAGAGACGTTTTCTTCCAGGGAACTGAAGTCTTGTTAAAATGAGAACTGGAAGCCATGGGCTTTGTGTGGTGTAGGGAAGAGTTTCATAAATAGCATTACTGTGTCTTTAAGGCATAGTTTATGTGGTTTTTTTCTGCTCTGTCCTAGGAGTTCTAGTTTGGTGGCTGCAGTTAGCAAGCATGTTCTAGGCCTGGCTGTTCCATAACGTAGTTCTGGTTCTCTAGTTATACCTGTAACTTCTTATTTGGGTCCTCAGTAAAGTGAGTTGAGACCTCCTGTTATTGCTGTGTGAGACTAATGCAGCCTGTATCTGCAGTCCTCAGACACAGTGGGGACCTCTGTCTGCCCAAAGAATAAGCAGAACAACACACTTCTGCCAGCCCAGCCTTGGTAAACAGGCATCCCTGGCTATAGCATTGTTTCTAGTATCTGAATAACCTGCTCACAAAGTGGAATTTTTGCTCACAGGACTCCACAGCTTAGAGGGAACATTGGGCATGGGGGTCCTCTCGGACACTAATGCCTCTTCTTCCTGGGGGCCCTTTTCACAGTAGCCGTCCAGCCTCAGTCTCCTGCAAGTCATGCAGCATGAGGAAGCAATGCTTCACCGACTCCTGGGCTCATGTAGACC